TTCACACCGATTCACGCACAAGGACGGAGCCACTGCTCACACACACACACACACATGCGGGATGACACTTTCTACAAGCACGGCAACACATGCTAAAAATATAAGCGTTCACATAAGAACATCCATACTGTGTTAATGTGCCTCTGGCGTATGGATAGGAAAGCAAAATCACACTCACTTTCAACACAGAATGTCACAGATTTTTTTTTACAGTGCACACACACACACACACACACACACACCATTGTTTGGCAGTCGTCCAGTGAATACTACAGCGTTTAGTGATAACATTATCATAAGTCTACCGCACCTCTCAGCAGGGAAAACCAGCGGATGAATGAGGGTTTTATCACGCCAAAACATGCAGAGCCTCCAATCCAACTTATCTGTGTGTGTATTCATGTTGAGACACACCTACATGCTATTCTCAGAAATGGAAAATTATGGCAGATAAGTGTGTTACGTGGTTGGGGTATAAACTGTTTTTTTTTTTTTTAATGATGAATTAAACATAAGTTCGAGAGGGGCTTGTTCGTTCAGTCATATCTCAAGGACATTTAAACAGCTGTTCCTCATTTCTGTGACAATTCTTTCAAGATTTCTCCACTTCCCCAACCTTTATTTTAAACATCTACACTCCTTAAAATCAAGTTTCTAAAAGGAGGTTTTCTTCGCAAAGTGAAAAGTTCTTAAAAGAACCATTTTTCTTAGTGTAAAGAACATTTTCATTATCTGAAAAACCTTTTTTCCACTATAAATATCCTTTTGTGGAATTGAAAGGTTTAATGGATGTTAAAGATGCCAATGAAGAAGCTTTATTTTTAAGAATGTATATCATGTTATATGTCTTTCTTTAATCATTGAAGGATCTTGTCTTGTGCTCTGTGAGTCACGTTCTCAAGCCTCTCTGTCACGGACAGCAGAACCATATCACGTTTGAGTATATAAAAACTCATTCAGATCTTTAGTCTTTGAATCATCTCGGTGTATGTTCTCTGTAACCATTTGCTCTAACTTGTGTGTTCCTCTTTGTGTTTGTCAATTCGAATCAATTTGTAAATTTAGCTGTCAGCGGCATTCTGCCACCCATCACACACACACACACACACACACCCTCACGCTGACTGTCTGCCGGAGTGTGTCGGGCTGCTGTTATTCTAGCGCGTAATGACTTTGTTCAGTGTGTGGGGCAGTTGTCGTCTCTGTGTGGGGTTCTGTGCTGCTTCTGACACTTTTCTCTCTGATTTCTCAGGTTCGGTTAGCTTTACTGACCTAGTTTAATGCTTTACATTGCTAAAACTTTAGTAACATTACATATACACTAACATTCAAAAGTATGGGGTCAGTAAATATATTTTTAGAAATCAGTACTTTTATTCAGCAAGGATGCATATAATTTGTTAAAAGTGACAGTAAAGACATTTCCACAAGAGAATTTGGAAAATCCACAAAAAAAAAAATTCACAAAAATATGAAGCAACACAACAGCACACTAAAAAGCCCATAAAAATATGGCACAATGTACCATGTTAATATGAAGGAACTTTCTGTATTTAATTTTTACAGGTAATTTACCCAATTTTGAATTACACATATTTCATTGTGTTGTGTTTTAGGCTTGAAGGAAATATTTAATGGAAATTCTTTTCATTTTTTTTTGTTCCCAGGACGTTATTATTTATATATATATATATATATTCTTTTTTTTCTTAGGGATTTTTGTTTTACAGTGCGTTTTCAAAATTGATAATAAATAGTAAAGTAAGAAGAAATGTTTCTTGAGCAGCAAATCGGCATATTAGAATGATTTCTGAAGGATCATGTGACACTGAAGACTGGAGTAATGATGCTGAGTAAATTCAGTTTTGCATCACAAGAATAAATTACATTTTAAAATATATTCAAATAGAAAATATATTAAATTTCACACTATATATATATATTACACAATTTCACAATATTTCACAATTATTACTGTATTTGGATCGAATAAATGCAAACTTACTGAACATAAAGAAAAACTTATTTCAAAAAAATTTTTTAAAAATCTTACAGGCCCCAAATTTGTGAGTCATAGTGTACCTGCATATTTATAAGATGAATTTTACAAAAACTGTATAGATAATATTTAACCCCAAAATTAAAGTTATACATATATTTTAAAGGGGTGGTTCATTGCGATTTCACTTTTTTAACGTTAGTTAGTGTATAATGTTGCTGTTTGAGCATAAACAATATCTGCAAAGTTACGAAGCTGAAAGTTCAATGCAAACGGAGATATCGTCTTTTAAAATTCTGGCACTTTAATGCCTACAAAAACGGCTGGTAGGGATTACAACGAGTTTCTTCCCGGGTTCGTGACATCACAAACCCAGATAAACCCCACCCTCGGGAAAAGGCAGCAAAGGGGGCGAGGCCATGCTGCGCTGCTTTAGAGAAGAGGAAGAGAAAACTAGAGGTGCACGTAAAAATCTATTCATATATGAATCACGATTCTGTCTTCTAACGATTCTAATGGATTCACAAGTTTCAAAATCAATGTTCTAAAGCAACGGTTCTCAATCCTGTTCCTCGCGTCCCCCTGCGATATTAACGACGCCGTTGTTTACAATACAATCGGAGCACATGCCGCTGAGGTGAGGGGCGGGGCGTTTAGACGCGCACTAGAGGCGGTTTAGCCAATCACAACACACTGGGCTAGCTAACCAATCAGAGCCCATCGCCTATTTCTGAGGGAGGGGCTTCATAAAAGAAGGAAATGATCAGCATGTTTCTCAGAGAAGGGACAGAGCGGTGTGGAATAACGGTAAATTATGTGAAAAATAATGCATTTTTTAAAAAACTAAGCATTAACACATGTTAGACTGCACCCCATAAACACAATCAAGCCTAGAAAAAAACCAGTGAACCAACTCTTTAATGATATATAACATATTATATAAAATATTAAATTTCTTGTAACAATTCACAGTATGCTGTAATGAGGTAAAATAAAGTAAATCTCCCCTGTGTTATGACAGAAAATAATAATTTTTTCTGAACAGGATAAGCAATGATGCAATGTGCATCCAGTTCAGCTGGCAGGTCAAAGGTGATTCGGTTTCAGCACATTAGGTCATTTATTCCTGATACTTTTTATTTCAGTAAAGAGATCTTTGTAAGTGTGTGTTTGTGTGTATGTGACCACAAGCTTGCATTTCTTTGCTCATTTTATCAGGCTTTCATGAATCATGTCGCTGTTGGTCTGAGCCGCTGACTCACGGGAGATAAAATGGGTGTGTTTTTGTTTTCGACAGGTTGCAGGTTCACAATCTGTGTGTTATTGTCTCAGAGGTCAGACTTCCCTCTGTTCTTTGTTGTAAGGAGTTGCATTAATGATTACAGGTTTGGCTCCTTTGACTTCCTGTGTAATTAGGTTGCGGCTAAATCGCCACCAACCATCGACGTGTTTGTGTGTGTGTGTGTGTAAGTCGTCATTTTGTCTCAGATGAGTGGCGTCACTGAGCTGTTCAGGTGAGGTGTGACTCATTCAGAGTCAGGTAGAAGGATGTGTTAAACACAGGGGAGCTGCAGCGGCCAGTCAAAGAGTCTCCATGTGTTTGTCAAAGGCTGTCCTCCAACAATGCAATCAACACTCAAACACACTTACACTCATGTTCTTCTTTAACTACAGGCCTCTAGCTGTGAATGCGAGTTCATGCACTGGTTTTAGAGTCCTGGGTGTGTGTTTGCTGTGTGCTTGACATTTTCCTCTTGTGCTGTTATTGAGTTTGTCAGGTTAATTGAGTTTTAAAGGGACAGTGACAGAAACATCCGCATGTCCTCCTGCAGGGCTTACGCTGGGATGTTAATAACTTATATTAAGTGCCGCTGTAATTACAGGTCTGATGTCAATTGTCAACAAATTGTGGGGATCGTAGTCGCTCTCTCTGACACATGCACATATATAGTCAAGCATGCATACAAACGAACACTTATGCACACACACACACACACAAACAGATATTTTTAGCTACTTGGTTATGTAGACTCTTACTAGACTCTTGATAGCTTTGGGAATCTAAAGTCTACAGTCTGCAGTACAGATGTTATCTTACAACATGACAACATGTTGCAATTTACTACATTTAAAATATAATAAATATTCTAATAAACAGTTAATATTAATATCATGGAATTTTTACATTGAGTACGTTTGCCAACACGTCAAAATAAGTGTACTTTAAAGCGTGACAAAAGTTGATTAAAGCAATATGTAACGGTGGTGGCTGCCCTAGCATAAATAAACTGTATTAAGGAAAATATTCGGGCGCCAGTCAGGTTTTAACCCTGACAATTTAAATTAACCCAGGATAGCCCAAAAAAAAGAAACCACCTGTTACACTAAAAAAAAAACAATCCAATTAATAATTCAGAAGGGGAATTTATTCCATAATGTCCAAGAGAAAAAAACGTGTTTGAAAAAGGTCATCAAAAAAGAAAAAGAAACAGTTCAAAACTTTATTTCACTTCACACGTGAAATTGAGATACATGAAGAAAAGCGCATCATTCTATTATTTTCCACAGTGGCAGTTTCACGTCCACGTTCATTCATAAATTGACCATAGAAAGAGAGAGAAAAAAGGAACATTAAATAAAAATTGTTCATATTTAAGAAAACAATAACAACATCAAACAACAGTCTTAAAGAGCAAAAGTAACATTTGCATAA